TATTTTTTTTTTTTACTAAACAAATTTCTGCAGAAAGATCTAAAATAGGATGTTAAAAATATATATCTAGGGTGTTATCTCCTAAAAGTGAATGGGTATATCCTACTCACCTTGTTTTAAAATCTGACAATAATTACCACTACTGTGATGATTACCATGTGCTGAATGGCATTACTATGTGATCAATATTGAACACTAAATATCAATTTATTTACCTCCAAATTTACACTGTTTTTCAAAAATTAATGTTCAGTTTATCATCAGATAATATTACATCAAGATTATGCACTGATGTAACTACAACTTTTGGATTAAAAAAAATTGAGGCAGCAGCATTTCAACATTTCAAAATATTTGCTAATGTTGCCTGGATAATTGTGTATTTATTTCCTTGAATTTAGTGATGATGAAACAATGCATAAAATTCATTTAGTACAGTGTTTAAAATTGTACCTTTATTAATATTTCTAATTTAGAAGTTTTTAGTTATCCTATGATAATTGGAATCTTTTCCATACTAAAAAAGGATTCTAAGAGTTTATGTAGATTTTGGGGTATGGTGTTGTTTTTTTCTTTTTTTGTTGTCATTTTTATTGTATCCCCAGTTATGTTAAAAGTGTAATTTGCTCTGTCAGAATGATTGAGATTTTTTCCAAATTGTTTTTTTTAAATTATCCAATATTGTGCAGCAACTTTGTAATGCAAATGCTCTAACATCTCTAAGTTTCATTGTTGTAACCTAGGGAAGGTTACTGAATAGAATAATCACACAAAGGTTGGTAATACAAGATAATACTTAGCACAAGAACAACACATATAAGAGTTGCTAGCTGTTGATGCAGCATTACACCAAGTGACAGATGAAATACTTGTGGTGAGCCCAAATGTAAAAAATAAAATAAATGTAAAAATAAAATATTAAACAAAAAAGAATTAAAATAAAAATAAGGCATTTGCTTTCCTTTAAAACGCAATATCTCTTTTTCTCTTTCTCTCTCTCTTTCTACCCTTCTCTCTCTGTACTTCTCCCTCAACTAATGAGAAGGCAACCTTCAAATAGAAAAAGAGGAAGAAGAAAAGACTGAACAATGGCTGCAAAATGGAAGTTTGTTGGTCCAGGGTCTAGTTATTATGACTAGAAATCTACCAAAACAAAAGAGGCTCCATACATAACTTCCACAAAAAAAACAAAACAAAAAGTAAATGAAAGGAACACTGGAAAATTAAAGAATTTTGGCCAATCAAAGAAACAAAGAGACTGTTGCAAGCAGAAAAATAATATAAGGTAATACGATCGAAGCAAGGACAACAAAAACGAGGATGTAAAAGTTTAAGCCAAATTTTATTAAATAATCTGGCACAAGTATATACAAATAATTGTTTGTGGTAGTTCGGTCGTGTAGTTTTGAAGGAGCGTTATCAGGTTTCAAGGCGACAGCTTGGAGGTAGGCCGATGGAACAGCGGTGTTCGAGGTCCAGTCGATCCCTGGATGTCTGTCCTTGAGTAACGAGCGCGTCGGCGCTTGAGGAGAGAGAGGATCGACGTGGACAGTGCTGGTGTAGTCAGTTCGTCCTTGGGTAGACTGTCATGCAGGATCGCAACTTGGTAGTCCTAATAAAAGGACGTTCGTAATAACGCGGCTAGGTTAGTCCTGAAAAGGACTATTGCATATTATGTAATCGAGGGCAGACTATTGCATATCATGTAACCGAGTGTAGGCTAGTGCATATCATGTAGCCGAGGATAGACTAGTGCATATCATGTAGCCGAGGATAGACTAGTGCATATCATGTAGCCGAGGATAGACTAGTGCATATCATGTAGCCGAGTGTAGGCTGCTGCTGATGTCTGCGTCGCTGCTGCTGAAGCTGGGCTGCTCTGCTGCTGGCCGAGTGTAGGCTGCTGCTGATGTCTGCGTCGCTGCTGCTGCTGATGAAGCTGGGTTGCTCTGCTAGCTCTAGCTGCTGCTGCTGCTGGCTTTGGCTCTAGCTGCTGCTGCTGATGATGAAGCTGGCTCTGCTCTGCTGCTGCTGATGAAGCTGGGCTGCTGCTGGCTCTAGCTGCTTCGTGTGGTCAGCGGAGGTGAGAGGGGGAGCTCGTCGCTCAACCCCGAGGCCAAATTGGTGGAAAAAAATCCGCTGTGTTTATATAGGCTGAGGTCGGCAATGTAGCCTGTCAGCGATATATTTGGGGTGATGACTGAAAATTACCTTCTACTTTTTGGCTGTACACATGGGTTCCATTCGGACACCATGTGTATATAAAGTGGTTTCTGGTAATTGTTTTTGGTTGGGAAAGTTAGTATATGTAAATGTTTCGTTTTTTTTAGTTTGTGTGAGACGTTGACTGAAAAACGCTGAGTCACCGGGAGTTAACGGCATTCGTTATGTTTTCCGCGGTGACGCTTTTAGATGTTTGAGTAGCCGGCAGTAACTTCCGGCCGGGTGCGATAAGGCCCCCTTCCTAGAGGATTGATCATGATCAATTCACAAAAAAAATGTAAGTCTTTAGTTTGGCAGGAAAATGAACTCTTCTGCCTGATTTTGTTCGTACGACTGGTGTTGTTGTTTCATCTTCCGTCGTTGTTGGTAAGTCTGGCTCGGGAGAAGTTTCCTCTAACCAAGCTGGTTTAAGTCGGTCGATGGAGACTGTATCTTTGTCTTTGCCGCGCATGATCGTGACAAATTTCTTAGAACGCTTCAGAACTTTAAAAGGGCCTTGGTAGCTAGGTGTGAGAGGTTTTTTTTACGGCGTCGTTCCTAACAAAAACAAAATCGCAGGTATCCAATTTCTGTGGTAAGTAGGAGCTTGTGGTTTGTTGTCGTGGGGGAGTGTATGTAAGTTTGTCCATTTTGTGGCGCAGATCTTGCACGAAAGAACTTGGTGAGGTTGTGCAAGAGTACTGCGGAAGGTGAAAATATTGTCCTGGTAAGGAGAGAGGCGTGCCAAACACGAGCTCTGCTGTCGAACACCCTAAATCAGTTTTGAGGGTATTCCGCAAAGAGAGCATGGTCATGGGGAGGTTGTCGACCCAGTTGTGTATGTCGAGTTTGGTTGACAGGGATGTCTTTAAGGATCGGTGAAATCTCTCCACGAGGCCGATTGCGCAAGGATGGTAAGCCGTCGTTTTAATGTGTCTGACACCCAAAAGTTGAGAGAATTCTCGGAAAAGCGAGTACTGAAATTGTGGTCCCCGATCTGTAGTGAGAACTTGTGGTATGCCAAAGTTTGTAATCCAGTTGGTGAGAATGGCTTTAGAAACTGTGGTAGCGGAAATGTCCTTAATCGGCACAGTGACTGGCCATCTCGAAAAACGGTCTATGATTGTTAGAAGGTATTGGTACCCCTGGCACATTGGTAGAGGCCCGACGAGGTCAACGTGGATGTGGCTGAAACGTGCGTCGGATGTGGCGAATGTTCCAACTGGTGATTTTGTGTGCCTCTGAATTTTGCATTTTTGACATTGTATGCATGTTGAGACCCAATTCCTAATGTCTGAATTCATGTTGGGCCACACAAATCGATCGGCGATAAGCTTGACGGTTGCTCGCTTGCTCAGATGGGATAGATTGTGGAGATGGAGAAATACTTTTTTTCTAAGAGATGGAGGAATGTACGGTCTCGGAGTATCCAGTGCGGTGTCACAGAAAAGAGTTTTATCGCTGAACGGACACGGGAACTCCTGCAGTTTCAAAGAAGTCTCCTTAATGATGTCAAGTATCGTCGTATCGTCTTTTTGTTTGTCGGCTATCAGCTCCTGGCTCCAAACGTCGTTATCCATGGTATTGACGTCTGTTCTGGACAATGTGTCTGCGACGGTGTTGTTCTTTCCTTGGACGTGTCTGATGTCCGTCGTAAACTGTGAGATGTAGTCGAGGTGACGTGTTTCACGGGATGTATACTTGTCTGCGCTGACATTCATCGCGTTGATCAGTGGTTTGTGATCCGTGAACATAGTGAAATGTCTGCCTTCCAGAAGATGTCGAAAATGACGTATGGACAGGTAGATCGCCAGGAGTTCTCGTGAGAAGGTGCTGTATCTTCTCTGGGCTGCAGAGAGTTTAGCTGAGAAGAAGGCTATCGGCTGTCTTGTCATGTTCACTTGCTGCTCCACTACTGCTCCTATTCCAACGTCGGAAGCATCTGTTGTAAGGAAAATTCTTGTTTCCGGGTCGTTTTCGATGAATGAGAGTTTTGTGAAGTTTATCAGCGCTGTCTTTGCCGTTTCGAAAGCCCGCAAGGTATCTCCCTCTAGGGTAATTTGTTTGTTCTTCCGCTCTATGAGGTTTGTCAACGGGGAGAGAATTGTCGAGCAGTCGGGGATGAACCTGCGGTAAAAATTGATCATACCGATAAAGCGTCTGATTTGTTTTGTGGATGTAGGCGTAGGGAAGTTTTTAATCGCGTCGATTTTCTCGGGTAATGGTGTGATACCATCTTTGTCGATATGATGGCCTAAGAAATTCACCTCAGATGCCCTGAAAGTGCATTTGTCGATGTTCAGCCGGACTCCATACAGTGCTATTCTTTGGAACACTTCGTTTAGATGTTGTTTGTGTGTGTTCTCATCTGTGCTGGCTACTAGTATATCATCGATGTAGGCATATGCGTACGTTAGGCCGCGCAGTACCTCATCTATGAAGCGTTGGAACGTTTGTGCTGCATTCCTCAGGCCAAAGGGCATCTTGAGGTATTCGAAGAGACCAAAGGGAGTGGTTACGGCGGTCTTTGGAATGTCCTCCGGAGCTATGGGGATCTGGTGGTTAGTTAGGTCTATCTTCGAAAAGACGCGAGTGCCCTGCAACCCTGAGGCGAAATCGTGTATATGCGGGACCGGATAGCGATCGGGTATGGTTGTGGCGTTCAATCTTCTATAATCGACGCATACCCTAAAGTCTGTGCTTCCCGGTTTAGGTACAAGATGTAGGGGTGAGGCGTATGGGCTATCGGAGGGTCGTATGAATCCGTCCTTCAGCATATTGTTAAACTCCTTTTGGGCTTATTCCAGCTTATGAGGAGGAAGTCGTCGTGGGTGGGAAAATGTTGGCTGTCCACTGGTCTTTATATGGTGCTGTGTTTGGTGTTTTGCCGGACCGGTACCTGCGAGTTGTTGAATAAGGTCCGGGTATCTGTTTAGGATCTCGATGTACTTTCGTCCGTGGCAAGTTGTCACACTGATTCCAGTGGTGTTGTGTCGAGAGAGGGTGCCTTTAACAGCAATGTTCGTGGTATTGTCTGATAAAGTCCTCGTATTCATGTGCACGGCTAGATCATAATGGGCCAGGAAATCTGCCCCGAGTATTGGCGTTTTTACGTCTGCCTGGGTGAAAGTCCAGGTAAAATCGCGCCGCATACCGATGTTAAGAGTCAGTGTCTTGGCTCCATATGTCTCGATCGTCGAGCCGTTTGCTGCCTGGAGTTTATACGGGGTCGCCTTTCGGTCTTGCTGTTCTTTGGGGGGTATCACGCTGATTGCTGCTCCTGTGTCCACTAAAAACTTTATGTGGTTCCGTCGGTCCCATACGTAGAAAAGGCGGCTTCGTATGTTTTTGCCGGGGGGTTCTGCCGCTCCTACCCGCCGGCTGTTTAGTTTTCCGACTTGGTTTTGGAGCTGTATTTGCAGGGTGCCGAGCAATTCCTTGCCCTGGTGCCGAATCTGTGATGGTACCAGCATAATTCCGGGTCGACTCGTCGATCCCTGCTGGTACTCCGTGCTCTCCGTCGCCAACCGCCGGTCGCCGGCATCGGGCCTCTCGATGTGCGGGAAAGGAGCATTCGTATATCCTGCAGCTGATGTTGCAGGTCAGCTACTGCCTTTTCCAGATCCGTTTATTTGGCTGGTGTGTCGTCTGGGCGCTGCACGGCACACACTCCTTGGTCCAGTTTAGTTGCGATGCGGTCAGCGGAGTTTGCTAACTGGTCTAGTGGAGTGTTGTCAGCGATTGGTGCCAATATCTGCGTTATGGTAGTGGGTAACTTGTCCATCCACAGTTCGCGCAAGATTGATTCGGCCATGGAATGTTTCCCCAGTCGGCTCCTCATGAAGCGTAGAAGCTGTGAGGGTGTTCTGTCGCCCTGGTGACGTGGGTAAAAAGTTCCCGGAGCAGTTCCTCGTCCGAACGGCCGGTTCGTTTCAGAAATCGCATCCTTGAGGCGAGATATGGCTCCTGCTCGGGCATGTTCCAAGATGTCGGCTACTTCATCGACAACTGAAGGTGGCAAAACTTGTACCACGTTGGCGAATTTTGCTTGCTGTGACGTTATTCTCCGAACTGAGAAAATGGCTTCCAGCTGCAAAAACCAGTTCTTGGTGTTCTGCTCGTTGTACGGAGGGAGGTTTGTGAGTGGCATTGCTACATTTATGAGAGCGTTCTGTTCCCACTCGTCAGTTGCCATCTTGCTCGATCGTAAATATCGGGGTCACCACTTGTTGCGGCGCTAAGCAGGTTGACTGTTAACCCCGCAAGCAGAAAAATAATATAAGGTAATACGATCGAAGCAAGGATAACAAAAACGAAGGTGTAAAAGTTTAAGCCAAATTTTATTAAATAATCTGGCACAAGTATATACAAATAATCATTTGTGGTAGTTCGGTCGTGTAGTTTTGAAGGAGCGTTGTCAGGTTTCAAGGCGACAGCTTGGAGGTAGGCCGATGGAACAGCGGTGTTCGAGGTCCAGTCGATCCCTGGATGTCTGTCCTTGAGTAAAGAGCGCGTCGGCGCTTGAGGAGAGAGAGGATCGACGCGGACAGTGCTGGTGTAGTCAGTTCGTCCTTGGGTAGACTGTCGTGCAGGATCGCAGCTTGGTAGTCCTAATAAAAGGACGTTCGTAATAACGCGGCTAGGTTAGTCCTGAAAAGGACTATTGCATATTAAATCGAGGACTATTGCATATCATGTAACCGAGGTAGTAGTATCATGTAAAGTGTAGGCTAGTGCATATCATGTAACCGAGGATAGTGCATATCATGTAGCCGAGGATAGACTAGTGCATATCATGTAACCGAGTGTAGGCTGCTGCTGATGTCCGCTGCTCGCTGATGAAGCTGGGCTGCTCTGCTGGCTCTGGGCTGCTCTGCTGCTGCTGTAGGCTGCTGCTGATGTCTGCGTCGCTGCTGCTGATGAAGCTGGGCTGGCTGCTGGCCAGTGTAGGCTGCTGCTGTCTGCGTCGCTGCTGCTGCTGATGAAGCTGGGCTGCTCTCCTGCTGCTGCTGCTGCTCTGCTGCTGCTGAAGCTGGGCTGCTGCTGATGATGAAACTGGGCTGCTCTGCTGCTGATGAAGCTGGGCTGCTCTGCTGCTGCTGATGAAGCTGTGCTGCTCTGCTGATGAAGCTGGGCTGCTCTGCTGCTGCTGCTCGTCGCTGCTGGCTCTAGCTGCCAAAAGGTGAGAGGGTTCAACCCCGAGGCCAAAAATCAGCCAAGAGGATTGATTTGGTGGAAAAAAATCCGCTGTGTTTATATAGGCTGAGGTCGGCAACGTTAGCCTGTCAGCGATATATTTGGGGTGATGACTGAAAATTACCTTCTACTTTTTAGCTGTACACATGGGTTCCTTTCGGACACCATGTGTATATAAAGTGGTTTCTGGTAATTGTTTTTGGTTGGGAAAGTTAGTATATGTAAATGTTTCGTTTTTTTTAGTTTGTGTGAGACGTTGACTGAAAAACGCTGAGTCACCGGAAGTTAACAGCATTCGTTATGTTTTCTGCGGTGACGCTTTTAGCTGTTTGAGTAGCCGGCAGTAACTTCCGGCCGGGTGCGATAAGACTTTTGATGTTAACTGAAACCAAGCTTTGCACTAAGTAGTGTATATAAAGAGACAACCAACGAGCAGTAGAAGAGAATGGACAGCCAGAGAAACCAAACAAAGTGTATCAGGTGAAGAAACTAGCAGTCATCTGCTCAAGACATTTTTCCACCCTTCTGAGGGCTGAGAAAACACAGTAGATTGACATCTGCAACAAGTTTCCAAAATAACCACACGTCTGACTACTACCAAAGTCTGACTGAATTATCAACTACCAAGCCGAACAATGTTTTGCCAACCCAGATTAGAAAGGACTCACTTCAATCAAAGTCAAATAAATAAACATATATTATTTGTTTATACCTTTGATTCTGTTCATTTAGAAATATTGTTAAGACTCTCTGGTGCTTTTCCACATGTCGGTTTATTTTCCAGAAAATTGACACAAACTCCATCAAAGTATTCTGATTTCAACAGAGAGTTGCTAGTAACCATTTTGCAGTGTTTAACTTTCGCCATGTGATCTTACTGATAAACCGTTAACTAATACATGGCGCTTTTCACAGTTTGAAACTAACAAAATTGTAATGTTAACTTCTAATGTCAAAACTTCTGAATCCATATTAGTTATTTAGAATAAATAGTTATTTAGCTGATTCTATGTTACAGCATGATTTTTACAATACAATTAAATGTGAAATCATTAAACAAATCAAATATTTTAGTAACTTTAAAAAGTTTTCAATGTCAGGTCATAATTTTAAAAAATAAATATCCACTTCATATCTGATATTTTTTATACAGAAAAATTTGCATAAATTATTTCATTCATTGTCTCATCTTGGTATTGAATCATCTATATAATTAGTTCATATATGAAGTTTAGTATTACTTATGGGGGTCATCTTCTGACAATGTTTGTTACCTCTATAAATTGGTATAGTTGATTTGGGTGTATTTTGGCCTTGTGTAATGATTAAAGGAAAATGCACAGTGTTGATATATAGAAAATATCATTATATAACATAATATACAATACAGAAGGATAAGGTGGAAGTTGAAGTTTCAAGAGTTCATGTGTAAAAGTCCTGACACATAAAAGAAATAGAGAAAGAAAACAAGTAAATATATATATGTATACTTATGTATATTTCCAAATGTAGTAGCCACCACTTGATCACGTGGTGAAGGAAGGTATATTTGTTTTCAATGTAGCATGAGTCAGCCATGTAAGGTTACCAGTTATCTATGCAAATATTGTATTTCATTTCAAGGTATGTTATGATGCCTGTAACATTGGAAAATGAACAAAATTAATTTATTGAATATATTTTTGGTTGATTCTCCATCTGTTTATATACACATCTATAGATCCACTTGCTACCTTATATCATGGTAGAAAGCTTTCTGATCGATTAGTCAAATGTGCTTTGTTTGCCTGGTGATTTTTATTATCCATTTATTTTTAGGGATAATGAGATTTTAGTCTTGTTATTTTTATTTATTTATTTATCACTATACATATACTATTAGTTATGTGTGTATATATAGAGCCTGTATCTTGCCAATAATAAAAAATAATAAATATTAATAATCTACCATTCAAAATGTTAAATTACATTCACTGCATGTTTCAGACTCATATATAAACTGCTATAATTACCCTTTAACATGTAATTGTTGAATTAAAGCTCAACCATCATCTGAAATTAACACATAATCAGTAGCTGATACATTTGTAATTACATGGTGATGTAATGAATATGCATACACCTGGGTTCCCCCTCACAGTAATATGATTGGCTGGTGTCAGCCATAAATACAGACTGATGTGGAGGTACAGGGAGGATGCCTATTGTCTTCGCCTATTGCCTACACCTATTGCCTACCACTACGACGAGGACCAGTCATTATGGTTACCTGCTAGATTGTCCTACCTGGTTACAGTAGTCAACAACCACTTTGCTACTTCAAACAAATATATCCCTTTCTGGGACATATCACATGGATTCCAAGATTTAGTTTTCTAGTCTTTGATGTAACAGTGGAAATCACTTTGAAAGTGAGTTATTTTTAGAATTAACAAAATTTTTATTTTTCATAGATTGAGAACATCTGCTTACAACCCAGAATGTAATGGTTTAATACAGAGGACACACCAAATAAATCAGCAATTATAACTGATAAAGAATCATAACTTTCAGAATTTCTAATTGTCCTCCTTTGCATATGTACTAATCAATCCAACTTTTCAATTTTTTGTGGTATCTCACCTGATATAATAAAAAATGATTCATTAAATCCTAAATTTATGAGAAATTTGTGTAAAGCCATGCTATAATTTGAGCTCATTGACATTTTTAATATTTTAAATAAACCAAGTTAAAAGTCGAAGTGGGTTAGACAAAATATTTGGAGTTTCAAAAACAGGCATTCTCAAATATGAGATAAAATCTCACATATTTAGAAAAGATATTCAAATGAGATAAAATATCTCTGAAATCTGAAATGACATTCTTCATAAAGAGAATTGCTGTAGGTTTTTAGAGAAGCTTCTTCTTCACTAGCAACAGTAGTAGTAGTCACTGCAGCAATTAGTTTCTCACCAGGGTGGTTGAATCCTTTCTGTATCAACAGTAGTAGTATTCACATTTTACATGCCTCAGACTGTCAATCCTTTCTGCCTGATAACAGCCTTTTGCCTGAGTGTGGTCTATTCTTTTGCAGTCAAAATTTCCCCTCATGTGACTCCAACCAGCTCAAAAACCAAGTCCTTGGGGAATGCATAGTTTTTAACTCCATTGGTTAAAAATTTGTGAATCACTATCCAATCAAACTGCACATGTTTGCAATTTAAATTTGGCTAGTTTTTACATCAAAGTCAAGCCCATCTTCTGTCAAATTTTACAACAGAATGTTTAATCCATA